AAGCTTGTTTTCTGCTTCCCTGGAGACTAGGACGCGGAACAATGGCTTCAAACTACAAGAGAGGAGATTCCATCTGAACATGAGGAAGAACTTCCTGACTGTGAGAGCCGTTCAGCAGTGGAACTCTCTGCCCCGGAGTGGGTGGAGCTCCTTCTGTGGAAGCTTTTAAACAGAGGCTGGATGGCCATCTGTCAGGGGTGATTTGAATGCAATATTCCTGCTTCTTGGCAGGGGGTTGGACTGGATGGCCCATGAGGTCTCTTCCAACTCTTTGATTCTATGATTCTATGAATGCAAAATTCCTGCTTCTTGGCAGGGGGTGGACTGGATGACCCATGAGGTCTCTTCCAACTCTCTGATTCTATGATTCTATGAAAGGCAAGCATTCAATGAGACTCTGATTTCTGAAGTCACAACATGGCTTTTGGAGCAACCTGTCAACTTCTCCAAGCGAGGTGTTTACAGTGGCTTCAAGAGATGGGAGAAGTGTGTGTCCCTTGGTGGCACCCATGGAGAGAAGGACTCAGAACTGGGCCATTGCTTTCAGTCCACAGGAAATGGGTCAAGGGAAATCTTTCATGAACACCCCTTGTTTATCTGTAGGTGGTCGCATTGTGTTGGTGTTTATTACAAGATTCATGAGTTCAAAAATGGTCTGATTTGTGCAAGATACAATGGCGTGGCTGATGTGGGCTCAATAATCCTTTCTGTGTTAAAAGACTAATGCATACACCCTTTGCAATATCAAAATTTGCATTTAAATGGATGTTTCCAATAGGCCATTCTGCTCGCCTTTGCAAAAAGACCACCAGAATTATGGTTTTAAGATGTTCTTTCCCTCTCTTTTTTATTGAGTCACACATTCTTAGAGGTATCTTTGACAGTTCAGCAGGGATAATTAAAAATATTCGTGGCTTTAAATGGCACGCAAGATGGAGAAAGCCCAGAGAGAAGCATAATAGCGTAGGTTGTCGCAATAATTAGAAGTTCCAAGGAAAGAGGACAGTATTTGAATTCCGACCATTGTGTCCAGAAAGTACTAATTAAACAGGATAAATGGTATTTAATGGCGAAATTCTATTTGCGTGTCAGGTCATCTTAGTTTTAATTGGCTCTCATTTGTTGCTGCTTAGTTCTTCCAATATTACCCAACAATTGCTAGAGAAAAGTGTGTGTGTGTGTGTGTGTGTGTAGATGCAGAGAAAGATAGGCAGGCAGGCAGACAAACAAGGAGAAAGGGACAATGTACTCTCACCTGAGAGGCTGTGTGTCTACCATTAATGTATACAAAACATTAATGGTAGACACAATAGTCTATACCAGGGTTTTTTCGGGCTATAGGGCCATGTTCTAGAGGCATTTCTCCTGACGTTTCGCCTGCATCTATGGCAAGCATCCTCAGAGGTTGTGAGGTCTGTTGGAATTAGGACAATGGGTTTATATATCCGTGGAATGACTGGGGTGGGGCAAGGAGCTCTTCCTTGCTGGAGCTAGGTGTGAATGTTTCAACTGACCACCTTCATTAGAATTTGAAGGCCTGGCTGAGCCTGGGAAAATGTTTTGTTGAGAGGTGTTAAGATGTGCCTGGTTGTTTCCTCTCTGCTGTTTTGCTGTTGTAATTTTAGAGTTTTTTTTAATACTGGTAGCCAGATTTTGTTCATTTTCATGGTCTCTTCCTTTCTGTTGAAATTGTCCACATGCTTGTGGATTTCAATAGCTTCTCTGTGCAGTCTGACATGGTGGTTGTGAGAGTGGCCCAGCATTTCTGTGTTCTCAAATAATATGCTGTGTCCAGGCTGGTTCATCAGGTGCTCTGCTCTGGCTGACTTCTCTGGTTGGAGTAGTCTGCAGTGCCTTTCATGTTCCTTGATGCGTGTTTGGGCAATGCTGCCTTTGAAGGTCCCTCTGTAGACTTGCCCACAGCTGCATGGTATACTGTAGATTCCTGCAGAAGTGAGAGGATCCCTCTTGTTTTTTGCTGAACGTAGCATTTGTTGGATTTTCTTGGTGGGTTTGTAGATTGTTTGTATGTTGTGTTTCCTCATCAGCTTCCTTATGCGGTCAGTGGTTCCCTTGATGTATGGCAGGAACACTTTTCCTCTGGGTGGATCTTCAGCTTTACTCTCGTGGCTTGTTCTCAGTCTTGTAGCTCTTCTGATGTCTGAGGTGGAGTATCCATTGGCCTGGAGAGCCCAGTTGAGGTGGTTCAGTTCATCTTGGAGGAGGTGGGGTTCGCAGATTCTTTTTGCACGGTCTGCCAAGGCTTTAATGGTGCTTCTTTTTTGACTTGGGTGATGGTTGGAGCTTTTATGTAGATATCTATCTGTGTGTGTGGGTTTTCTGTAGACGGTGTGACCCAATTGTTGATCTGGTTTGCGGATAACTAGGACATCTAGAAAAGGCGTCCTTCATTTTCTTTTTCCTTGCCATAGATGTAGGCAAAACGTCAGGAGAAATGCCTCTAGAACATGGCTCTATAGCCCGAAAAAAACCACAAGAACCTAGTGATTCCAGCCATGAAAGCCTTCGACAATACATTATACCAGGGTTCCTCAAACTTTTTAAACAGAGGGCCAGGTCACAGTCCCTCAAACTTTTGGAGGGCCAGATTATAATTTGAAAAAAATATGAATGAATTCCTATGCACACCGCACATACCTTATTTGTAGTGCAAAAACACTTAAAATAATAATAATAATAATAATAATAATAATAATAATAATAATCTTTATTTATATCCCGCCACCATCTCCCCAGTGGGGACTCAGAGCGGCTTACATGGGGCCAAGCCTGAACAACAAATTACAATAAAAATAAAACCAAAACACAACCGAAAACGCAAACAGTAACAGCAATATAATAAAATAAAACATATAAATACATAACAATATAAAATTACAATAGACGCAATCACAATGACAATGGGCGGGCTGCACGTAATGATTAAAAGAGAGACTAATTAAAACTAATTTAAAAACAATGCAACAATTAAAATGAAGAACCATTTTAACAAATATAAACTTATTAATATTTCAATGGGAAGTGTGGGCCTGATTTGGCCAATGAGATAGGATTGTTGTTTTTGTGTGTGTGTGTGTGCTTTCAAGTTGTTTAGAAACCCTGTTTAAAAACCTCCAAAGAAGAAGCCTTCACCACACTGAGAAAGTTGGTAAAGTGGGTTCTGTCTGCCAAGTTTGGTCCTTATTGGTCATTGGATGTAGGTCATAGTGGCTTCAGTAAGTGAGTGAAGATATTGCAAGTCCCATCATCCATGGTCCATCCTCCTACAAAATGCATCAGGATGTAGAGTGGGTCATGGGGGCTCTGTGTGCCAAGTTTGGTCTTTATTGGTCATTGGATGTGGGTCACAGAATCATAGAATCAAAGAGTTGGAAGAGACCTCCTGGGCCATCCAGTCCAACCCATTCTGCCAAGAAGCAGGAATATTGCATTCAAATCACCCCTGACAGATGGCCATCCAGCCTCTGTTTAAAAGCTTCCAAAGAAGGAGCCTCCACCACACTCCGGGGCAGAGAGTTCCACTGCTGAACGGCTCTCACAGTCAGGAAGTTCTTCCTCATGTTCAGATGGAATCTCCTCTCTTGTAGTTTGAAGCCATTGTTCCGTCCTAGTCTCCAGGGAAGCAGAAAACAAGCTTGCTCCCTCCTCCCTGTGGCTTCCTCTCACGTATTTATACATGGCTATCATATCTCCTCTCAGCCTTCTCTTCTTCAGGCTAAACATGCCCAGCTCCTTAAGCCGCTCCTCATAGGGCTTGTTCTCCAGACCCTTGATCATTTTAGTCCCCCTCCTCTGGACACATTCCAGCTTGTCAATATCTCTCTTGAATTGTGGTGCCCAGAATTGGACACAATATTCCAGGTGTGGTCTAACCAAACAGAATAGAGGGGTAGCATGACTTCCCTAGATCTAGACACTATGCTCCTCTTGATGCAGGCCAAAATCCCATTGCCTTTTTATGCCGCCACATCACATTGTTGGCTCATGTTTAACTTGTTGTCCCACGAGGACTCCAAGATCTTTTTCACACGTAGTGCTCTCGAGCCAGGCGTCCCCCATTTTGGAATTTCCTTTCTTCGCAGGCGCAATTGGTGGGGACGAGGGAGAGGGCCTTCTTGGTGGTGGCCCCTCGACTCTGGAACTCACTTCCCAGGGACATTAGACATGCCCCAACTTTGGCAGTCTTTAGGAGGAGCCTGAAAACGTGGTTGTTCCAGTGTGCCTTCCCAGAATAAGGAAACTCTAAGCAAAATGCACTTTACCATTGATCTAGGACTAACTGCATTCCCTCAATTCTCTCTGCAAAAGCTCACGTCTGATCAGCATTATTTTTATTTTAATCTATTACATTTGGCCCGGCCATTGGTTTTTAACATGTTTGATCATTTATTGCTTATTTTGTTATGTTTATATGAATTGTATTGTATTGATTGTTTTATTTGATGTTTTGTTTATTGACGTGTTGGCCTCATGTAAGCAAATGGTTATGCAGTGATTTTCCAAAATGGCGACCTCCACTTGTTGGATGGTGTTTCCATCAATAGCAGAGTGGGGTGACTCTGGAATTGGAGCTGTTTGCACCAAAGTCCAACCACATTTGAATGGATTATGCCAGTTCTTGACTCCATCATCTGATAGGGAATCATCAGCATAACCCTCTTCCATCTCATTGAGCGTCTCCTTTGGTGTGCGGCCTTTCAAGGAAAGGAACTTGAGGACTGCTCTGGATTCCACTGAGTCCATCCTCAAACCTCACACCACTTCAGCACCTGAAACATCAAGACTACTACCAGTTCTGAGTTGTAAATTGGCACGTCACCTATAGAGACCTGCATCATGACACATGGGCAGTTTCAGTGTCCTGTGGGTCGGGGAAATCTTTAATGAACGCCCCTCATATTCTTGCAATTGCTCTTCTATTGCACACCTTCAAACTTTGGAATATGTATTGAAAACACAGTGTTATGGCACATACTTACCCAACATGCCCATGCCCAGCATAAAAGCATCCATGGTGTAGGGTAATCCACGAGCCCTTCCTCTTGTCCCCGGCGGGAACATCACTTCTTTAGGTTGTGCTTTCTTACATTCCACCTAGGAAGCAGAAAGATATACAAATGAGATGCAAATGAATTCATGTAAAATGTCAACTGCTGAACCTATCTGGTTAAGTTGTGGGGGGAAGGGGGGATTATTTTTAGCATTGCTTTTCCAGAAAATGTGAACTTTAAAAATAGGCTAGCAACACACAGTGATTTTGAAAGAGTAAATATGTGTAATGTGACTTCAGAAGGTATACAGTACAAACACAGCTTGGGAGGAGAGAGAAAGAGGTGGATCAGTCACATGGTGCGGATGCTGCGACTATCATACATGGCAAGGCAGGGTTGAACTCCAGTCCAGGGTTAAGTCTGGTTGACTCAAAACCACTATGAAGCAAACAAGCCACTTCAGTCATGGGACATCTCTCAGATAGCACTCCTAATGTGTTAAAACACAGACATGTGCCTTTCACCTTAAGAACAGACAAGCATCCCGAGCTCTGAGGATTACCTGGGAAGGAATCCCACTGGAGCATTGCAGCGCGCCCAAATACCTGGGAGTCACTCTGGACCGTGCTCTTACCTACAAGAAGCACTGCCTGAACATCAAGCAAAAAGTGGGTGCTAGAAACAATATCATACGAAAGCTGACTGGCACAACCTGGGGATCACAACCAGATACAGTGAAGACATCTGCCCTTGCGCTATGCTACTCTGCTGCTGGGTACGCATGCCCAGTGTGGAACACATCTCACCACGCTAAAACAGTGGATGTGGCTCTTAATGAGACATGCCGCATTATCACAGGTGTCTGCGCCCCACACCACTGGAGAAATTACACTGCTTAGCTGGTATTGCACCACCTGACATCCTCCAGGAAGTAGCAGCCAATAGTGAAAGGACCAAGGCAGAGACATCTCCAGCTCATCCCTTGTTTGGGTATCAGCCAGCACGTCAATGACTTATATCAAGAAATAGTTTTCTTAGATCTACAGAGACACTTGCTGGAACACCTCAGCAAGCGAGAGTTCAAAAGTGGCAGGCTCAAACCCAGCACCTCAATCCGTGGGTGATACCAGATGAGAGACTCCCCCTGGGCACACAGAAGACTGGGCGACTTGGAAGGCGCTGAACAGACTGCGCTCTGGCACCACGAGATGCAGAGCCAACCTTCAGAAATGGGGCCACAAAGTGGAATCCACGACATGCGAGTGCGGAGAAGAGCAAACCACTGACCAACTGCTGCAATGCAACCTGAGCCCTGCCACATGCACAATGGAGGACCTTCTTGCAGCAACACCAGAAGCACTCCAAGTGGCCAGATACTGGTCAAAGGACATTTAATCAACTACCAAACTCACACATTTTGTATTTTGTCTGTTTGTTTGCTTTGTTCTGTTAGAAATGTAATATAATTGACTGGCTCCCTGACACGAGAAATAAATAAGTGGTGAGAATTTCAGAACTCTAACAAAACTTTCAAAATTTCGTTATAAATAGCAGTTCCTAATTGGTTCTGTCATAAAAATAGCCAATAATGAAATTTTGAAAGTTTTGTTAGAATTCTGAAATTTTCACCACCAGAACTTTAGCAACACTTTAGAACCAAAGCACCAGCACCCCCTAGTTTAGTAAGTACTTTTGAATCATTTAGACCAGGGGTCCTCACACTTTTTAAACAGAGGGCCAAGTCACAGTCCCTCAAACTGTTGGGGGGTCGGATTATAATTTGGAAAAAAAAATGAAGGAATTCCTATGCACACTGCACAAATCTTATTTGTAGTGCAAAAAACACTTTAAAACAATACAATAATTAAAACGAAGAACGATTTTAAAAAATATAAACTTATTCGTATTTCAATGGGAAGTGTGGGCCTGCTTTTGGCTGATGAGATAGGATTGTTGCTCTTGTTGTGTGCTTTCAAGTCATTTCAGACTTAGGATGACCCTGAGCAAGGGCCGGGTAAATGACCTTGGAGGGCCGTATCTGGCCCCCGGGCCTTAGTTTGAGGATCCCTGACTTAGACCCACGGATAGCCTATGCCTAATTCTCTCACACCAGAAGCATACTTGCAGTTTCTCAAGTTGCTTCTGACACAATTAAAAAAAAACTTGCTGACTGAAATTGACCTCATGAATTCGAGAGGGACTTCTTAGACAAAGAATACTCGGTGATGCTTTTGACAGACTCATCATCATCATCATCATCATCATCATCATCATTTAATAACTTATTAATCGCCCTCCATCTGAGAATGCTCCAGGTGATTTACAGCTAAATTACAAAAAAATAAAATACATACATACAAAAATTAAAAATCAACAGAGATCGAATGCTCTAGTAAAAAGCCAGGTCTTAAGTGCGAGAGAAAAAGGCCCTAAGTCACGCGTGGCTCTCATGTAGGGCGGCAAGGAATTCCACAAGGCAGGGGCAGAAATAGAAAAAGCCCATCTGCGCCTGGTCCTTTCCAAGTGCACTTCTCTAGGACCCGGTATAGGGAGTAAGTCACGTTGGGCTGGTCGTTGCGACCTCCGATGAGGGGAGAAGGAGAGGCGGTCCCTAAGGTACGATGGACCCTGGCCGTAAAGAGCTTTAAAGGTCAGAACTAGCATCTTATACAGGTCACGGTACTCAGTTGGAAGCCAATGTAAATGTTGCAGCACTGGTGTTATATGGCATTTCATGGGCGTTCTTGTGAGTAACCTGGCTGCCGCATTCTGAACAATACGAAGCTTTCGGGTCGTAGACATCGGAAGGCCCACACACAGGGCGTTGCCATAGTCCAGCCTAGACGTGACCGTGGCATGGATGACAGTTGCCAGAGCCTCGTCAGATAGGTAGGGTGCCAGTTGCCTCGCTTGTCGTAGATGGAAAAAGGCCTGTTTGCTGGCAGCAGCGACCTGAGCTTCCATTGTCAGCTGTGAATCCAGGATGATACCTAAGCTCTTAACAGTGGTCGATGGAGATAGGGCGGCACCATCGAAGGTGGGTAATGGAGGAGTCGGACCTGCCGGGCAGCCATGCCAGAGAATCTCAGTCTTCGCCGGGCTCACCTTCAGTCTGCTAGCACGTAGCTAGTTTGACAGAGCTTCCAGACATAGGGTGAAATTGTCTGGAATTGACGTTGCTCCAGGCTCCAGACGCAGGAGGAGTTGGGTATCGTCTGCATATTGGTAGCAGTCCAGGCCGAAACTCCGAGCCAAACTAGCAAGGGGTCTAACGTAGATGTTGAAAAGAAGAGGAGAGAGAATTGCACCTTGGGGGACCCCAAATAGGAGGGGGGATCTATCGGAGACTTGATCCATGTACTCCACGCGTTGACTCCGGTTCCAGAGAAATGAGTTGAACCAATTGAGGGCCTGACCACGAACTCCGGACATGGCAAGACGGTGAATCATTAGATCGTACTCGACGGTGTCAAACGCTGCGGTAAGGTCGAGAAGTACCAGTAGCGCGGATCCACTGTTGTCAGACTGGCAACGGAGTTCATCCGTAATGGCAACCAGGACTGTCTCCGTCTCATGACCCGGGCGAAAACCTGACTGGAAAGGGTCCAGGCCAGCTGTGTCATCCAGGAATTGACTCCCATCAATTGAACAACTTTCTGCCAGTTTCCAATCTTCCCTTTTTGGGCAATGTCTTGGAACGTGAGGTGGCCTCACAACTCCAGAAACCGCAGTCAAGAAATTGGAAGAAGGTAACAGCTATACTGGCTGCTGAATCTGAAATGGTCAAGAAGGTCTCAATCGAGATGGATGTGACATTTGTGGACTCTCCAGAGTTTCTTGCAAACTCCAGAACAGTCCAGTTAGGGCAATACTCTGGATACTTATTCGAAGTGTCCTTGAAGGAAACTGAGGGCCAAACTGGTGGAAGTTGGGTCCAAAATGGAAAGTTAGCCAACTACTGGGCACGCTGGGAATCGTGGTACTACGATTGGCTTGTGTGGATGGACTGGTATAGTAAGTCCTTGGTATCTGCTGGGGTTTAGCTCCAGAACACCACATGGAGCCTCAGGAAGATGGAGTTTCCCTTCCAACTGTCAAAGCTCATCCATCATTCTCTTTGATAGGGGTTACAATGCATAAAAATACATGCCCATGGGATGACAACCATGAGGAATCTGGTTATGATTTCCTTTTTTCTCCCTCTAGTAGTGTGATTTGTGAAAGGTGGGGCTTTGTGGACAGGCTCAGGTTGGGTGAAACTTGGATTGCTTTTGCACTTGAGCAGCGCATTGGTATACACTCTACCAATGGAGCAAAGATGAACCAGTGGGCGTTCTTTGGAGGTACAAAACAGGTAATTACACAAGACAGAACCAGCAATGGGAAGATAATGCTGCTAACTGGCTCTGTTTCTAATAGCCCTATCAGTAGCTGTGGATCCATTGTCTTCCAGCAACCGACCGCCTGTTCCTAAGCAACCCGTCGGGGAAAATTTCAGGTTTGTACAATTTTCATTTAGGTAACGTAAAGGTTAACTGACTGTAAATGGGAGTCTTTTAAACAAAACCACCCACTCCCTTCCCCGCCCCCACCTCACAACAAAACCTCCCAGCGTATCTTATTTATTCAGCTTTGCGATATTTCACTGAGCAATAGAGCTTCCTTCCTGCCAACGAACTTGTCAAAACATTCGTTTCCCACCAGCAACTCTCCCACAAGCCTTGGCAGGTGCGGGAACGCAACACTTCCAAGCCCCACGGAAGGGCCTGCCTTGCCAAGGAAGCCTTCAGGTAAGGAAAAGCTACTTGGTGGGAAGAGGATGGATGAGGGAGGAAGCAAAGAGATGGATTCCATGCTGGATTCAAGGCCAAGGCTCTGTTTAGTAGGCATGGTTAAGTACCATTGGAATCTTCGTAATTTGGAATAAAGTCTGGAAAAATACCTTTTCGAAGCAATTTTGAAGTTTTAAAGAAATCTGGAAGTCCCTTTGCCCTTCTGAAGCTTTTTCCAGCCATTTTTGTTACAAATCATGAATTGAGATGGAAATGATTCAGCTTTCCCCCCCTTCTGGTCCCTGGCCTCGGCTCAAGCCAGAGAAGCCAG